AAATTTTTTACCCCTGCTTATAATGACTGGGATAATTTCCGTATTATGTGACTGATTTGGTATCCGTCTGAGAGATTACAAAATTCAAATTTTGTAATTTTTTTTCAAACATGTAAATTTCCAGCACAGTTTTTACGATAACGATTTGCTTGGAATTATATAAATATCAATAATATTGGCGGTGTGATCTTGTGAAAACTTTTACTGGTTAGGAAATTATCTAACATACTTAACCATTATAGGAAACAAGAGTTTAAAATGGCACAAATTTGTCGCGATATTTCTGTTAAATAGTTAAAAGCTTTGACCTAACATGGTAGGGACTTGTAATGCATTATAATGCCTATATTGCTAGTATTTAAAGAAATCGCAAACTGTTTCATTGTAAAATATGATTACAATATTTAAGTGGTAATTTCAGATAATTAGTCAGATTACCAAACATCGTTCGTTCAGTAAGTTAACTTGCGTTGCGAGTCCAACAGCGCGTGTCAACGAAGCAAGTGCTATCCCATGACCGGTACACAGCATTACAAAATGATCTAAATATAGCAGAAATGCAAGCGAGCAATGCTGATTTGACTCGTTGAGTACTCAAGTAGATACAATTTCAGTTTGTGTTTATAATACATCATCGGATGCCTTACATTAGAAATCATTCTCAACTGGTCCAAACGTTACAAAATCAGTACCAATGCTGTAAGAATATATTTGAATTTACATTTAGATTGTAGTTATTTTGTAAAGTTTTTTTTGTTTTTTATTATTATTAGAAGGAGAAATACAAAGCACTTCGCAAAATAGCATTTCGTGCTGAACAATAGAAAATATGTCACTCAAGTATTTTAACAATTTCTCTGTTTAGATTCTGGTGTGTACTGCAAAACTCATGTCTGTATTGTTACAACTCTCCACAATCCGAATTCACACAGGATGTAGTTGTACTTCGTGGATACGTAGTTTCAGCTGATATATCTGACGTTCAACGAGCAAAATTTACCTTCAAGCTTGAACAGAAGGTAAGACATATATTTTGATTTTTTTCGTAGTAAAATTCGTTTTTAAATTCACATTTTAAAAAATATAAAATTTATTTTGAAGGGAGGATCTACTTATCATTTTCGTTGTGACAATCATCAAGGATTTATGCAATGGATTTGTATGATAAATAAGGAATCAAGCGATGCCGATCCAGCAATGAGGTAATTATTTTTCAAGTTGAAGCTGTTTTAACTTGCACATGAATAGTACTAAAACAATTTGGTCAGCGAAAGTGCTTTCAAATTCCTAGGAATTATTTTTTATTGTTAATTGAATAAAAAAAGGTAAAAGCTGCCAATTAGTCATTTAATTGTCACTTGCGTCTTTGAATTTTTGTGAAACCTCAAAGACACAAACTCGTACTTTATTACCGTATTAGTCTGCGACGAATACGAAACTTAGAAGAAACTTAGAAACTAAAGTTAATTTGATACTCCCGGTAACATAGAATCAAAAATCGTGTTTGCACCGTAAGTGCCGGTACGTTTCATGCATATCCAAAGCTGAAGAGAGTGCCCAAAACACAAATACACAGCGTTCAAAGGATCGCTTTTTGTGACAATACTGCGGCAAAACGTGTTTGATTTAACCGATATCGGTGGCTTGCTCTTATCTCGACAGTGTATTTGTTATGTGATTTTGACATTCAAAAGATAGCTATTTAATATAACACCCTATGGGGTATGAAAAACTTTTTTGGAAACTTCCCAAAATTCGCTATTGAAGTTTCCATCGCATTATGACTATCGTTCATGGTTCACCATTACTTGAATTTTATTACGATGTTTGATGAAAACACGGTGGTTGGAATCTTCAATTTTAAGCTTGTTGGTACAAAATTTTGTGGAGTGGTTTGTTGTATACATTGCGCGTTACGCTTAATGTCAACTAGCACGAACGACAGCGTACTTGCTTTCAGGATCAAAATTCCAATGCGGCTTAACTTTATAGTGGTATCGGTGGTGGTGCCTTAAGTGAACTTTTTGGTTAGTGTTTTACAAAAGTAGTGACATTCGTTTGCAACTTTTTTTTTTCAAATCATTTCCAAATGTGGTCGGTTTCTTACATAGGCCAGTTGAATTTATATACTTATCGCCGAAAATATTGGTTGTTTGTGATGGCGTCATCAAAGCGTAGGATATACCGGTTAATATGAACCTAGTTTTAATTGTATAATGATATATAATGGATACATTGGTTATGATTCACTCTGGTCCGAAAACAACAGTTAGTAGGAATCGACCACTAATAATTGTGTGTAGCATGACACTGTGCATCTTAATGTGTACGATGTTTAAGCAAAGATTCACTTTACGTGTTTATCTTCACAGCGATAATGAAATTCTCATGAACAACGTGAAAAGTTGTGCTAAAGTACTCACAAGAGCTCAATCGTCGATTTACCCGTCTTCGCCTCAAATGTCACCATCGATGGCAACGCAGCCTCCTCCGAATACTCTCAGCAAACATAATAATAAATCAATGCTGTCGAGAAGGCACACTGCAGATGTGAGTAGCATTCATTTTCGGATTATGTTTAAATCTGTTTTCACAAAATTTCCCATGCGCGAAAATGCGTTTTTGTGCGTGTGAAATGGAATTGAGCAGAATTGTGTTTCAATGCAACATATAACTTTATTTTCTAGAATATTTTCCGAATGACTCGTCGGGAACACTTAGATCTTGAGTTACAAAAGGAAAATCTTCTAAGAGAGGTCTTAGAACAACAAAAAGAAATTATAAAAGAACGAAACAGCATGATACCTACGCCAAAACAGGTGCGTTTTAAATATTTCCAGGAACACTGGAAAATTACTAGGATTCACCATATTCGATTCACTCATGTTTCGAAATATTTTTCAACTTGTTATTTTTGATAATCGGATTTTTCGAAATTAAATATTTTGAAAAATAAACATTGGCAAATAGCCACCGCCTCAACAGGAGATAATCTTTTTTAGTCTTGTCATCTTAGGCGACATTACATTAGTGTTAAAACTTAAAATCTAAAATTTAACGATGTATTTTTATTTTATTTTAATTTCTAGTATTTTATGGTAATATGTGGGTATTTTAAAAAACGTAATAAGCACTAACAAAAATTTCACCCTTATGTTGTACTATGAAATATGGTTTATATGCGATTATCTAATATAGAATTGATATATATTACAGAATCGCCCATACTACGTTCCTTTGGTCAGAGGTGCCAATAGTCCTATACCATCTCGAGATGAGGTGATGGAAAAATACGAAAAAGTGAAAGAAAATCAACAAATGGAAATTTTAAAATCGTTAACACAACTTCACACGTAAGAAAGATTGTTTTATTGCTCTTGGTTGTCTAACACAGACAGTCCCCGAACTCGTAATAAAACTAAAATAAGGAAAATTGAAATAAAATGATGGCGCAACCCTAACCTGGTACACACACTACGTACCAAAATGCTGTCACTACATGCAATTCAGTCTTAGAAACTCCTTGAACCTTGAAGGGTTTTAAAATTTTTATCTACTATGATTTGACACTACCAGTGAGATGTAGTCAGGTCAATTTTAAGTTCATTCGTTTAATTTTATTATATTTTATTGTGTTACATAAGTCTCGATTTTCAGTAATATATCTAACATATTTCTGATCGATTTACGCGTTCCAATATTGGACCGAAACTCCAATTTTCTCCAAACTAGTGCTATCTTCGTGCGAAATCAAGTATGAATTATAGCTTTAGGCAAAGATGTTTATGATAGTACCATAATTTAAAACAGATTTTTTTGGTATCTTTCATTTTCCGGATATTTTTTCAGCAGATAGGAATCTGTATGCTGAAAATTGTCCCGTCAACAAAATACGTGACACTATTAATCATACCGAGATCTCATTCATTGATACCGCGCGATGTTAACAATAATGTTCAAACTTTAGTTCTTGATTCTTGTCTAATCTTTTTTGATAATCGTAATAATTCGAAGACATTGTTTATTCATTAACCGCTGTTCATTTTACATTCGCAAAAATAAAAAAAAAAGGTGACATTGATTACGTCGTACTCTCATTTTGATTCGTGATTTTCTATCATATATCATATATCTTGATAAATTTCATTTTCATTTGTGTATTTATTTATTTAACAGGAGAAGAAATTCCGTCCAGCTCAAAATAGATCAATTATCTCGGGAAACGAAACCAAAAGCGAGACGATCGAGAAGTGCAAATAGATATGTTATTCAAAGTATGGAAGCGAGGTTGGCACTTTTACAATCGGAACTTGCCGAAATCGACCAGGAAATTCGGGAACAGCACGTAAACAAAGAGGTAGGGATTCATAGGATTTTAAAACGTGATAATACAAATGCTTCCGCTACAAATATAAACACATATACATAAAGATCATATTTCTGTCATTGGTTACTCTTAGTCTATATTTCATTCAATAAAATGGAGAAAACGTAATACAGGGTGACCCCCAAAAAGCAGGACCCGGGTCATACGGAACATATGCTAAAGAGAACATTACTTTTTTGCAAATCGTCCTATATTAATGATACTTTAGGTTTAGGGTACAATCAACACAAACAGAAGTTCAAGAGTTCAATTCTTAAATAAATTTTCTTCATTTTTGTGAAAATATTAAGGACATTAATGGGTTTTGTGGGATCATCGTCATATAAATGTTTTTTGAAAGGCCCATTCATACAGCTGAGTAAAACTATAATCGTTCTTTTTCCTCACGATAAAAAAATTCTCAACCATCTATTATGTTCAGGACCTTGCTGACAACATCAATCAAAAACGGGACCTCGAGATCATGGTTTTAGACCAGCAAGAATGTATCGATATCGTCAAACGAAGCAACCCTTCCCAGCGGCGTTACCAACATCGACAAGAGCGAGGACGCAGAGCAACAAGACGTATTATGCCTTCAAACACTCCTATTTCGTTTGCACATGACCATCTTACTTCCATAGATGAAGCTTCCACAATTTGTGAGTCTGATTCGTCTTCCACGTCATCAGGGCTCTCAAACTCTTGTAGCGATCTGGATTCGCAAACAAGCGGAATTATGGCGATCTCTTCCACTCCAAGGCACAAAATAACCGATACTGGAAGCGTTGAATCTATTGATGCAGATTACACGAGCAGAATTGACTGTATAAGTTCTCACGACGAGACTGAATGTTTCAGGTCTTGCCGTAGTATCCCAGTAAGCAAGTCTTCTTCTTGTTCGTCAGACGCCGATGAGATTATGAGCGTTGAAGGTGTTCTTAGTGACGATTTTCGAAGTTTATCAACCTCTTCCTATAGTGACTTAGACACGGATGGAATGTGCAGGCAACGAACTTCGTCAAGCGATGAAAGTTTAGGGAAGAAATCAAACGACATCAGACCAGACGTACTAGCTGAAATCGAGGTAAAAATTCTTTCCTTACATTAATCTTATACGTATATGTGGTGTGTGGATAAGGAATACCAAGCCTTGAATGCGAAGCCTTGAATTTTTTTATTATTTGCTTCGGCCATTTGCTCCAAATTAGATTGTATACATATATAGCCTCTTATACGTTCGGAACTAGTTTATTAAACAGACATCTTGTTGATGGTTTTCGTAGTCTACTCATATTATTACAGCCTGAATAAAAGTGGCTTCGGGATTATGATGTCAGGCCTTGACAGTAAGGCCTGACATCTTTAAAACTGCCCATTTCGCAATATCGTTCATTAAGTAGCTAAGCTTAATTAAGCAACATAAATTCATATACAGTAAACTCGAAACACATTTTATAACCGTTAATTATATATTTTCAGGAGTTTGAGGTTTTCTCTAAAATGATGCTACAGCGGCTCAACAGTGCAACATGTTAATTCAACGAAAATCGACAAAGTTGCAAGAAAGCAACGGATAACATTCGTAATAATCTAAAGAGACGACAAGTAGATGGTGGAATAAGGAGAAATGTCGACGGACAAGAAAGGAGTTGCCAGATGCAACAAAGAAAATCCAGTCATTGCTTCATGCTATCATGTTCCGAAATAATGATCGCCTATGCTTCAATTCAATTCAATTCGTTTATTACTCCAGACCGCTGTGGTGCTTCAGATGAATATACACAACGATTTAATATGGATTATTTAATCGTAGCCTAAAATACCTTCCAGTTGAAGGTTTTAAAAAAATCAACTCAGATACTCAAATTTTGGATTGGTTAATACGGTCGGGCGTGAAATGCATTGTATCCGAATAATCTAATAACGTCGTTTCAGTGCGTAAACAAATTAGGTTCTCAACTCTTGTGAAATTAAACGTCAGAAGTGATAAAATAAAATTGTAGGATATGAGATTACATATGAAATAATTAGGTTTATGCAAGAGGATTCGAAATGAAATTCATCTCGATAAATTTAGACAAGACATCGTTATTTCGACAGTTAAAAACAGTTCAAAAAGGTATATCCACATACGGCTTTGTGGTAAACTGCAATATAACTCAAATTCGGAAAGGTATTTACAACGAAATAAATGTCGCCTCAAGGCAGGAGACGAAGCAAATTACACTCGATCACTAATACCGTATTTGACAACAAATTAACTGACACCAACCAGACCTTATTCGCTATTATAGCTGTCATTATTCACGAGGATGTTATCCGTGATCCATTACCTAAGAAAGCAATAGAGAATGCGCGTAATGTTGGCCTGAATGATACTCAAGATGTGTTTCACTCGTTCAACTACAAAACATGGTGTCCGCCTGCTGAAAGTGTGAAACATTTTTATTTTTTTATCTTTTCAAGTGAAATTTTAGTTCATATGCAGAACTCAGATATATGTATAAAATAATTGAAAAAATTATAGTTCATACTTTTTTGTCTTCCAATTTTTTTCATCGTAATATGAACTTCCATATGATGTTGCGTCGCTACCAACAACCGGATTCGCAAACAATTATTGTCATATATACTGTTTGCTCCACTGTTAGATGTTTATACCATATTCATTACTTTGATTTAGGTGTACAATGTAAAACTAATCCTTTTGCTTAATAATTGAGATTGGCGCAATGCTTAGAAATAAAATAAACGTCATGGATAATAAATAGTACCTTTGCCCTTTTATTTAAGTGTATGTTATTGTTAATCCATTTATATGTTTTTAAGTTCGTGCCAAAATGTTGCAGAATAGTGGTTACTTCAATACTAGTGGGTATGTATGCGATTTTACAAGAAGTATAATCACCGAGATAATCAAACAGGCACAAATACACCTCACATCAGGGTGAGGAAATAAAAAGATAACATACAACTGGACTGAAGTTCCTAATATATACAGAATATATCTTGCATTACTTATTCCTTACCAGTTTCGCACGTTCTTCTCTAAAATACTGGTAGAACACATTGTCACCAATTAGCGTAGAAGTGTTAAGGACTCGATATATATCGTATTGTAATACTATATTTTTCTGAATTTTACGCAGTTACCTAAAATCATTATTAGGTCATTTTATGAATAATTGCGCATTTAAAATTTACATTCATTCATTTAGCAAAATAAAATTCTGGAGATATTATGCTGCTATTAACTCTCTCGTAAATATTGCTGTTGAAATAAATAATATTATTTTGATTCCGCGCCTACTGCCGATTATGATTTATGTATTTTTTCGTTGTGTCTGTTGTTGTTTAGTGTTATTTTATTTTTGCATATGTGATCAAATATCTCATTTTGTTATTATTTCTTATTCTTTAATAAAGTGCCAATAAAATATATTATAAAAGTAAATTACCGTGTTTGTGAGGTTTCTCGGATGTTTTGGGTAAAACCCCAGCGATTTTGCTTTGCTCGAGATCTCAGATACTTTATAAAGACTGCCACTTCACCAGTGATGTGAAGATGTGAAGGTTTTTATGAATAGTTGATATTTAAGTATTTTGGAACTGGCTCTTCTACCGCACAGTTGTTGGATGCATGAATTTTGTTCTGAATTAAAGACATGAACCGCAAGAAGATAGTTGGAATATAGTGAAGTATGAATATTAAAAACAGTATATTTTAGTCAACGTCGCAACTGAAAAGTTCATCAGGAAAGTTATTAGAAAATAATCTTTACTATTTACATATACGATTGGATGGATATTATTCTTATCAACGAGATATTACATAATATTGTTGGCATGTTTTACTATAATTCATTTCGGTAGCAATTTCTCGCTATTGTTAAAATAAAGTCATATTCTAAGTGAGGATGCGAAGTAATTTCATAAAACAAGTAACAGACGGATGGACTGGTATTACCTTTATATGTAAAAGGCAGAAAGGACGCATTGATAAAAGAATGGAATTCAAAGCAAATTCAGGTTTCTTTCTCATTACACTTAACCACCCTTTATCGCATTAAAGTAAAAAAGTTTCTACTTATGTGTGCAACATCGTGTGTATTACAGGATTAAGCCTCCTTTAACAAGTTTTAAGGTCAATTTGAGGATAGCACAAAACATATCATTACTTATTCAAAACCAATTGATCTTCTTTAAGGACAAATCATCTTATTTGATGAAGATTACATTGTATTTGCACCAAGCGTAACTTATGAACTCATGTTTGAAAACAACCAGCATCAGCCATAAATCCCTACCATCTGTAATCCGTCATCAAATATAGCCAGACCAGAAAAGGTATTCAAACATATGAAGGCTTAATCCCGGATGGACTATAAAGCATTGAAAATATTTAAACACAGAGGGTGTAACTTTGATAATAATCTCACCTCAGATGTGGAACAAATACACACCTTCAGATATTAAAAAGTAAAAATGACTTTTTTTGTTTATTAATTGCAGAAAATACTCAATTGGTGAATTGCCAATTGCTGTAAACTGCCGCTTTTTATCTTGAAAGGCTAAGCCGTGTTGGGGACGCGGTAAATATTTGAAGAGTGCGACGAAATTGACAAATAACTGAAAATTGACCGATTGTCATAAAACTGTCAACAAACGAGTCAGTGGGATTAGATATTACTTAAATATAATCTGTATATAAATTACGCATATTTTAACCGCTCGCTCATGTCAGAAAAATTCATATCCCTCACTAATCCATAACGTTTTTTATTTTGTAATCAACAAACGGAAAAACAACTAATCATCAACAAGCTACTAATGAGTAACTAACTAATTATTGCTGGCCATGGCTTAGTATAATTTCAATATTAATCACTGTACCATACCAAGAGAGCGGTGCTTCAAAGTTCAATATATGGACACGGAGGCCAAAACGAAATAGTATCGAATCGTTCACAGTACTGGTTGTATGACCACCAGGTAACTGAGATGTGATCACGGAACCACATCACGCGTTTCTTAATATATATTGATGAAGTCATCACACAAAACGTCGAAGTGGATTAAAATAATATGCTTTTAGTGGAAACAACAAACTTTAACCACTGAAAAAGCAATGTTGAAGAGAAAATCGATTTTTTCACGACAACAATATATTAAAAAAGAGAGCTATGCTCAAATATATCGACAAGTGACACCACATAATTTTGATGACGTCATATCAAAAAATAAAAGTAATAGCCCTTTAGCAAAAAATATATTCTTCACTCACTAAAAATTTCAAAGCAAATGGTCCAGTGATCAAAGAGAAAATCGATTTCTTCAAAACGTGTCAAAGAACAAGAAGAACAACAGCATAATATTGAAACGATCGTTGTGTTCACTACATGTCCAAAAACAATCCATAGGTTCATTTCTTGTCCAATAATCAGTCATTAACGAGTACAAATTTTGCTTACTTTCTTAACCATTGAAATAACGAATATCAGAGTGTTGAGTGTTTGATATATATGGTTAGCTGCGTTTATCCTTACTTTTTAACGTGGACGTATCCGTGAGTTCATGAGGCGTCGTCGTGGAACATCGATTGCGAGTAAAGTGCTCTAATCAGATAACGGACTACAGGTACTGCGGACAGTCATTGGACTCTTGTTGTACACGGATTTGAGCACTGGTCTTATGTCGTCAATAGCTTCGCTAGGAAACTAGCTAAGCGCTTTTTTTAGATTGACTCAGATGACTGCTTGTACCTGACCTTGCTCAGAGCGAAGGGCGCCAATAAATGTCGTATTGGAAAACTTGACCCCACCCCTCACCAACTTTGGGATAGCTACAACCTTGGCTCGATCACCCAGATCACAACAGCTTGCTTTAACACTATCATGAATACATGGACCACATTCCACTCAATACGAATAGATGTAAGAAAAATGTCATTCAATATACTTTTTCCGAATCATAACGTCGATTTGTCAATGCGTAGACCAGGGTATCCCAGATGCGGAGGAATACCTTCCTTGGGATGAACTATTGTAATGGATATATATGCTCACATTATGAGATATTCAAACTGTGTGAAGTACTGATAGCTAATAATTCATTAAATATTGAAGAAGAAACGCAAACAAATTTTTTCACACATGCGGAGGGCGTAATGGAGGATTTGAAAAAGGAGAAATGTGCCGTAGTAAAAAAAGGTTGAAAATCAATGCGATAGACAATGGATTAAATTCTTTCAGCATTATCAATAACTGCAATATGCGTTAAATAAATTTTGGGGCAAATAGGACCAGCAATAACAACAACATATAACAATAACAAAACGATCCCTATGTACATTAGTGTGATATAGGCCGCGAGCCGAGGCCCTGGAAAACGCCTAGAAAGTGAGTTTCGTAGCGCACATCAGGTAACTACCTAAAATGATTTTAAAATGTTCCTTAAAAATTTAGTAACAAATATTGCCTTGTTCCCACTTCCAAAAGTTGCACGTTTTACGGAAAAGACGCTTTTACTACAAGAAATATGTACTACGATCTGTCCTATATTCTCTACATTTCCGGCAATGAACAATGACTTCTGCATGACGTAACAATTGAATCGAGTCAGCTGTTAGCGAGCGGATGAATCTTAGTTATTACTGCTCTATCTTGCGTTGAGTTGGGCAGCCTTTCCATAGCCCTGTTTAGTTATTATTAGTTAAGTTATGCTAAGACGTTGTTAAAAAGTATAAGTAAGTTATTAAACACTTGTAGATCCTTACCACGGATATGTGCCGTGAGAAGAAGCCTTGAAAACGCTCAGAAAATGAGTTTCGTAGCGCACATCTGGTAACTTAATAAATTCTTCAGTTTTGTGTGAAAATGAACATACTGAACGCATTACAGCTTGTTCCACAATCCTGGTGCGAAATTGAATATAAGAGGTTCCCGGAAATTCAATAACCATAAGTTTACAACACATATATAAAAACTATGCAATTCGAGAGCCCTACAGCACACTAACACAATGTATTCCTGTAACGTTTTGCCTGACCAAAATCAGACTTTCTCAGTCAATCATAATTTATTAGGTAGATTACGAAAAATATGGCAAACATGTAACCAACAACAAAAATCCTTTAATTGTGTGACAGGAGTCGCGAGTGACCTCGAAAGGTAGAATAAATTTTATGTAATAACCACAAGCAGTTTACAACAAGAACAGCATAGAAAACTGCATCCATTTTATAGAAGCTATCAAACGTATTTATTTTTAAGCAATGAAGTCACAAATTAACATCGTGAGCACGAAAACACAAATAAATCAGTTATTTCTCACTTAGAAATTTACCGGAAAAGTCAAGAAAATTAAATGAGTGTACAGTATGTACATAACATAATGAACAGAAATATTACAATTAGTCTTTTTTTAGTTTATGTGGTTATGTATTTGAACAAAGGCAATATTATTTCTAGAAACAGGACTACGACCCTAACAAATGTCCGAAAAAACAAACAAATAGATGATACTAATTAAATCAACTGCAATATCAAATTCACTTTCTTCTGACTTGTTTTCGAAATCCACTATCTCGAAAATCGACTTTTCCTCTATAAGTGTACTGTGATTTTTGCAGTCAATACAAAAACAAAAATCTGTGCAATTTAAGTTGATTTTGACACACTTGCATAAATTATTTTGACTATTTTTCTTACACTTGCAGGTTGCCAACTCAATAACTGATTTGAGGGCCACATGCTTCTTCAGTGAATCATTGTTGGGTAGAAGAGTATAATCCTTATGTTTGCCAGTGTTATAGATGTGCCCTGGTATCATTTACATTCTTCATATCCTCTTCATACAGTGAACAAACAAATTCCTCAGCTTTATTTATTAATGCCTCGTTAACCTCAAAAGATCTTCATAGTTGAGAAAAAAGGAAATTGAAAACCTCAATGAAGTCTCCAACATGAGTTTGATGGGCAGTTCCAATTGCAGAAAAGTGCTAAAGTATTTCAATATGAAAACCCCTCTAAGCTGTTTGCAACTATTATGATTCTCATATACCTTTACGCTTCAAGACTTCTTGTTTAATCCATTTTATAGCACTGATAGCAGCAGGGATTAGAGCCTGCGTTAGGTCGGATTGGGGGAACATTGCCGTTTTCTGTTGTAGTACAGTATCTAAAATGAGGAAGAAAATCATATTTTGAACAGCATGAGTGTAAAAATACAACTAAATACTAACTAATACCTTGAATACATAATGCATTTTATCTGATGTACTCAATGAGCGTATATATGCTCATTGGTGACCGTACATTTGAACCCACGTACATTTGAACACATGTGTATATCCGCGGGTTCAATCTATATGCGGGTGCTAAATCCCATGGGTTAGGGTTGGTATGGGTTCAACTATCCGTAAAACAAAAAAAAATTCCATATGTGCAATAGCATGCAGGTTCAATTGTCATGGGTTCAAATGTACGTGGGTTCAAATGTAACGGAACCATGCTCATTGCATGTACTACAGTCCAGCTGTGTTTTCATACCAGTACTAGACTAAATCTACACTAAATTTTGATATATCACAGTCTGAAATGCCCTATGAGTTTGGACAACAGATAGGCTTACCATACGTCCCGATTCAGGCGGGACAGTCCCGCTTTTTAGCGTCTTGTCCAGCCGTCCCGACAAGTCAGCCAAACGTATCGCAAGTAAAACCAATACTAATTAGTCTGAATTCGAATCATTTGTACGAATTATTTGTAATTCGTTAACGTCAATTCCCTTCTATGTTTCGAACTGAACCCAATATTTGGACAGAGAATATGGGCATGAACTCTCGATGACAATATGGTCAATGAAATGAAGACAACCGGGATAGCTTTGAATGTAGGTCTATGTAGTAAAATCGGAAACTGTAAGTGTAAAGTTACAAAATAACAGCTAAGGGGTCGTTGTCTTTGGAGGCATCCCGATTTGAAGTCACAAAAATATGGTAACACTAACTATAGACTATATTTTAAAACATCAACTGTCTGTCTACAACTTGATTTCTCACCTCTCAATCGCTTCCAATGCTACTTTCTTTCCACGGCATAACTTACCATTGCTTCCCAGGTTCTTGTCGACCTTATGAATTCAGATTTAGACCAACCGACATTAGTAAAATTGATTATTTTCTTCTCTTTCACACAACCGTGCATTACAGAAACAGCCATTCATTTCTATTTCCAAATATGCTGTGGCCTATATAGTAGTATAAGTCTGCTGAATAGTCAAGAAGAGTCATTAAATTAATCATAAACATTTCATGCAAGCCAGAAAATATCGTTGTTTGTGACATATTATTCTAGGTCTAGCCTTCCTTGGAGTCACCGCACTGTTTCTTTTTAACAACGTCTTATGAGCTAGTGCTCAACTAAAATTGCTATTTATGGTAAGGATATACAAGTGTTTAATATCTTACTTATACTTTTCAACACCTCCTTAGAATAACTGAACTAATAATAACAGAAAAAAAAACTATGGAAAGGCTACCCAACTCAACGCAAAAGCGAGCAATAGTACATCTGATATTCATCCGGCCACGGGGGATCCACCTACAGCTGACTAATTTGATTGTTACGTCATGCAGAAGTCTGCGTTCATTGGCCCATGATACCGGAAAAGCATAGAAAATAGGACAGATGCACAGATAGCACATATTTATTGTAGTAAAAGCGTCTTTTCTGTAAAACGTGCAACTTTTGGAAGTGGGAACAAGGCAATATTTGTTACTAAATTTCTAAGGAATATTTTAAAATCATTTTCAGGTAGTTACCTTATGTGCGCTACGAAACTGAAAGATAAATGGCCTCGGCTCGCGGCCTAATATGATCATAGTGAAATAGCTTTAAGGTCGAAGGTTGGGGACAAACCGCTTCATTTAAATCGGCAATCATCATGGTTCAATGAATTTTGGAAGGGGAACCACCGCGTTTGCCGACTTTTCGGGATTGAAAACAGATTTCGCACGATAGATTTATAGTTTCGATAATTTGGTAGCCCCGGAACAAAAGTAATTGATAGTCAGTGAACGAAAGGAAAATTATAATATGAATAAATATTACGAGCAATGGTTAGTTTTTGCCAGAGCTATGAACTCGGAGGAATTGCACCGGCATTGGACTGGAGGTAACGCAAATACGGTAGGCTAGCAGTTAGTTCAGCAGGCCCCTCTCTGTCTACGCATAATATTACCTGCAAGTTCACACAGTGAACTCCAACGGAAAATAGGAATACGTATTCCCAACACCTGGTCATAACCTTACATTTCGTTATGATTCAGTGTTATGATGAAATATATCTTTTTCTGTTTTGCAGTACCGGTAGTTAAAATACATCTGGTGCATCCTAGTCCTATTTTTATGTTTATTACTTTGTGAATTACGTTGGATATTGAGACAAATGTCTGAAAAACAGGCAAGTGTGACTTCTTCCATTGAAGATGCCGTGAAAGAGCTTTTGTCGATGACAAATGCTGCTGTAAAAAAGTTGACAGAATCTACCAAAGAGGGTGAGATAAATAATGAAATTTAAGTTTGTTTTGTCTTAATCTTAATGCTTCACTCCGGAAGTAAATTTGGAAGTGCTAGGCATTGAGATTAAGGTTGATTTTTGGCGAGGTTGGGGAGAATCAACAGCTGACTCCCAATTAAAACAAAAATTTACTCTGACCAAATGCCCCCTGATATTCTGTAGTAGATTTTGACTTCTTTTCTTGCCAATGAGTCTTAAATTTAAATATGGCACGTCACTCACTTGGCAAACACTTTTGAATCTCTAAATTTTTATGTTACTTCAATCTTGATTAAGTTATCTTATTTTGTATTGTTCCATGATATATTTATAAAATATGAATGTAATAGATGATGCTGAAGAACTCATATTATACTACATATTTAATACTGACCCTAACTTGACTTCGTATTATGTTTTTGGATTTAGATTTTCTTTGTACATCTATATACTTCTATCTCTGAATAGTCTTTTTTTTAGACAAATTAAAAATTTTGATTATGATTTCTATTTTAGAAAATGGTGCCGCAGAACAACAACAATGTGATGATGCAAATTTGATTCAATATCAGGCTGACAAGCGTTTACTGGAAATGCTGTCGGATACTCAAGAAAGTCACTCATCAGGAGAAAGGGAAGGTACTGAGCAGTGTTGAGTAAGAGTATTTAAATTGCTGAGCACTGAAGTCGAGTCACTCACTGAATTGGGCTTTGCTGGGAGTTTGTTGATGAGTTCGACTCTTTACATTTAGATAACTCAAGTCACTCAGAGCCCCGGATGAATGGTGACTCAAGTCGAGCTAATAACTTGAGCTTCCCCAACACTGTTACTAGGCGGTGAAGTGGTGGCGGATATCTATTACTCATTGATTAATTTTATATCCAGCACTATCAATTCAGTAGTTTTTTTGTTGCTGATTGCAAGAATATTAAATATTTTGCCAGTTCATGTCGGGCATTGGAATAGTTAACCAGTTCATTGTTTTGGATGCATAAATTTGCAACCAGTTGTAATATGAACCATTTTTCAGTGGCGAGAAGTCCTTCAATCCTATCGCACATATTGATTGGGACCTGCGAACCGTCGCGAGGTATTCAGTTGTGGTATGGCAGGCATGTTCCTAATGCTTAGCATAGTGCGCCGTACATGAACAATGGAGTTGAACTTCATAGATTTCGACTCGAACAGTGGCAACAATAGATCAATAAGCCAAGACAGTTTTGACATAGCTTGTTGCATTGCACTGTCGTTTTTTTTTTTTCTACAGAAGATGATGAGTTATACAAGGAAGAATCTAATCAAAGTGTGACAAGTGATCCTGTTAAAAAACTCGAAGGTTCATTTAAATCAAATATTGTTTTTCGATATTCTTCTATCTGAATGATTAAAATGTGTTTAGTATTGATGAAATTGAGGAAATAATTCATCAAAGACTACACATACATGAGATATTTTAAAAATATTATTAGCAGAATATTGATTTCAGATATATGTAAAATTATCTCCTTTTATCTTTTAAGAAATAAAATCGAAGTCTATTAAGCAGATCAGCTGTTACTGTATAGTACAATCAAATTATAAGCTCTGATAAATTCATCTAAGATATATTGTTAAGGCATATTTTTAACTTGCATGCTTTACCACTTTCTAATTACTTTTCTGCCAAATCAATAAATATTTTATCCAACATCATTTTATTGAGGGGATAATTTGGATTTTACTGTTTATCTTTTTGCTAAGATATACAATTTTTAATGTTTTGTATATTTTTCTAGATGGAAAAATAGTTGATGTCACAAATGTTTTAGAAGAAGAACCAAGGAGTGAAATAAGCATTTTAGATGTAGGGGGTGGACAGCCAGACACAATCTCCTCAATTTCGACACCGTCTACTGATTCGCTTGAAAATACTCACTCATCTTTAGAGGGGAAAAAAATGATGAATAATCAGGGGTCAAGTTCTAGCAATTCCCAGAGTTTGGAAATTCTGAAATCTACCACAGGAACACTGCCTGGAGATTCTATCCTTTCACCTATTTCATTTCCTCCGGGTATGGTTTTGTTTGCCTATTTCTCTTTTTTTAAATCATTTCATATCATGTCGCTACACAAGCAGCAATTGTATTTTTTAATTGTTTTGTAATGTAATCAATGATCGAGTTTTTCTATTTGCCGCTAAACAAAGGGTTCATCTAAAAAGTATCATATATGATTTTATATTAGTTCTTCTATTAAATTCTGAACCAGTGCTGCAGAGTTTTAGTTTTAGTGGCATGTTTCCGTTGGATTTGAAGATAGTTTCGTATACCAAAATTCTCTGAGTTAAATTCCGAAATTTTGAACTCTTGGAGTAAAAGTCAAAATTTTGTACAGAAATTAAAAAAACAATTATGTTGTTGTCTAACCACTCTTAACAGTCTATTAAAGAAGAATATAACGAATTTTGATTCAGAGCCAAGGTCTGTGTCGAAATTTCCCAATGAGATAAAGTCAAAATTCTTTTGATTCATTTTCGGGAATCGGAGTTGATTGTAAATTTTCTCTGATTCCATACACAACCATGTTGTGCGCTATGTAAAATGTTTCATTGCCAATTCTTGGATAACTATTTTTTTTTTTATTTCATATGAGAAGGCCTGACGAGATATAGTGAAATATATAATATACAGTAAATTTTTATTTGTACATTTATAAATAGGCGACCAGAGTAGTCATCTTGATGATGGAGATTTACAACTGGAAGATAGTGGATTCATTCCGAAAGCTGATAATGGCAAAGAGCACAAGACTTTAACTAGCAGTGTAAAATCCATCTCAGATCCTTCTAGTCCACAAAATTCTACTGGAAACAGTTCTACTGCAAGTGAAGTTTTGAAGCAGTCAACTCGGGCTCCAGAAATTCTGAATTCAGCACGTTTAAGACAATCAAATTCTCAACAATCCAAATTGGTGAAAACTATAGAAGTTTCAGATGAAACTGGTCTTTCAACGGTAAAGCAAGACGAAGAAAAATGGAATCAAGATGGACAACCCAAAACTCGCTTCATCATAAGAAAAAGCAATCACACTCCTTCTGAACCTATCCCAAAGTAAGATTTTCATAATACTTGATGCTAAAATATACCTAAATCCATTTTTTTATACGACTTTTTTTATATTCCTTTCACTTCCAAGAAGTCTCGGCGTTCCAGAAGTGGGTGTACCAATATGGAGGTAACTAATTTTGCTTGCCTACTTTACATCAAGTTGTGTAAAGGGAGGAAAGCCTATGGGCAAGGGGTATATTCACTTGGCTAACACAGACAGACCCAGAACTCGTAATAGAACTAAGTATAGAAATCGGAATAAAATTATGGCCTAACCTGGTAGGCTGGTACACACACTACGGGAGTAACCAAGTCTTCGTACAAGCAGCAACTGCTACTGTAGTGCTACTGTTTTTGGAAGAACCGGAATTTTTTTGTTTGGTATTTCCTACCCAATTCATTACACCCTGGGTGAGGTGTGGGGCACGGAATTTGAACCCCAGATCTTCAGGTCGCAATGCCAACATAACTAAGCTTTTAACACCCATTCATTTAAATTTCTATAAGGCCGACTCAACAAACAACACGTATACCTCATCCTGCGAAACAAAAGGTCAGGATTCCAAAGAAAAAATTGAGAGAAGTCAAATCTCCTGCATATGTGAGTGGAAATGGTGAAAAACAACATGGAATGTAAGCAAATTTTTCAGTTATGATTTTTCAGCATTATCGGGACTATCTAGTTGGAGTCAAATTTAGAACAAAGTTATATTAGAGACTTCCTAGTTGTTGGGAGTCTAAATTGTATCTTTTCTGTACTGTGAAATAAAGACTTTTAAATATCAAAGTTATGTCGATTCAACTCCGGTTAGATTTTCAATCGACCTGGTGTCATTGATAATTAAAATTGATACAATGAAGTTTTGGTCTGCATTGAATTGAATTTTTCTCACATGTTTGTCATGGTCAGATATTTACAGTTTTGTAATTGTTAGTCATCCATATATGTGACATGTAAAAAGCATGCTTGCATCCATACATCGTTCTTGTTTATTATCGCTACTATAAATTTTTGCATATACCGGTAGGTGAGAAATTTTGTTGAAAAATCATATTTTGAATTTACAAAATGTACTCAAATTTTCTTACATTTTGAACTTTATATCATTATTGTCAAAATATTTTTCATATAAGAACAATTGCTCAATCTTGTGATTTTGTTTTCATGCTACATTTTCTGCAGATCTGATGAAAGGAAACGCATTATTCTTCCAAGAACAACTCTTGCTCAAGGACAGGAAGTTGGCAAAGAGTCAGATAAAGAAAACAAAGGTACATGAATAGGAAAACAGAACTTAAAAAAAGCTGTCTTGGGAAAATGTTAAAAACACATTTTTATTGAATTAGTTTATTGAACTTATAGTGATGAAAAAATATTGCCCTCATAACAAATTCTTGCAAATAATAAATTTATGTTACCAGTGTATATTATCATAAACCTCCCAAGCTTGAAGCCCAATTGGATAGTATGTTGTCATGTTTTTCAGTTATATTATATGCCACAATTTTGTAAATTTGTGGTTGCCCATGTAGTATCGTACTGTATGTCTCAAGTTTTAGCCCTTATTTTACGTTTTTGCAACTCTCATTAATTTCTGTCCTGCGTGTCTGTCTTGTGTATCAGAGAGTTATATATAAATTATTTTTTGTATGTTTGCAGAACATAATAGCAGTTTAAAAATCATCAAATCTGATAAGGATATCGCAAAGAAGAAATTACTCGAAGCCAAGGGACCTGGGTATGCATTTTGTTCTATGTCACATTTGTGGAGTCATTGTGATACTGACCAGATAATCTTAGTGGAGTAGTGGAGTTTTAGCCGGGACCGGGAAAGCTTAAATTTTAAGCTAAATTTTACAGCGGCGAGGAGTCCAGTAATCCTCTTGCACATAACCATCCCGGAATCAGATTCGAAACCGCGAACCCATGCAGAGTAATCAGAGGTGCAGAGCATATTCCTAACGCTTAGCACGATGATCCACACCACCGCAGTCAGTCAATATTATTCCATCCTGGAGTTGGGAGTCGATTGTAAATTTTCCCAGATTCTGCAGTCACAAGTATGATATAAATAGTCACTGAAGATTATTCAGATCTGAAAGGATAAAAATATTTCGTGTTGAGCAGAGCTCAATCTATTTATTGCAGTGGTTTTCGACATGTGTTCCATGTAAGGTTGAACCCTAGGGATACGCCAGAACAGTCCAGCGGTTCTGCACGTTAACTTTCGAATCTAAGTGTCCATGTTACCAGATGTATACTGTTTAAATATAATCAAATAATTATTAGGTTTGGCACTATTACTTTACACTTTGAAGATCATTTTTGTCAGTATCAGATTTGTTTTTTTGTTTGTTTGTAGTACTAATTACAATTTAAAATTGAATTCTTCAATTATTCACACTATAATTGTTGGCCCTATCATACAAATCACGGACCAACACTGTCTATTTTTTGTTTTAAAAATTTTCATGAAAATAACTACTTTTGAAAGCAGTATCATAAGAACCAATTTAGTCTATTTATTCCACTTTTCCAGTTTGATCAACCATACAAAGAGAGTCGTGACGGCAAATATAATAGAAGGAAAAACTAGATCCAAACAATCAGAAGAAAATGGGGTTGTATCCACTGCCAGTGCAATTGCTGCTGCAATGGCCTCTGCTACACCTATGTTACAGGTACCAGTATCAATTATGATTTGTTCTACTTCGGTATTACTGCAATATTAAATATTGCCTTGTATATAACCATTCTTGTCCATGAAATCTATCTAAAACCTGACCATCACAGGGACGTAAAGATAAACTAAACGATTTGATAAAAAATATGAAAAATTACTCAAATTAAAATAGTGAATGAGGCTGAATTACACACTTTGAGTCACAGTGAATTGAAAAAAATTTTCAAAAATTTTATTATTATTGAAAAGGAATGCATTGGCAATCTATCAGACTTCAACATAACTCACATATTCTTTACTCAGTTTCCGCTTTCTCTGCGACAATATAAGTATATTTTGACTTTATGATCAAGATAACAGGTGATAAAATGATTGAATAAAACAAATAAATAAAATCTGATTATGAAATCAGGAGAGCAAACCCTAGATAAGGTTTAAAAAGTACAGAAAATTAGAAGGTTTGGAATGCTTTGAAGGTGTTGCCAAGAAGAAGTGGTACGTTTTCACTCACCAATCAGATATTTACTATACCCATACCCAACCTGGCTTTGTAACCTCTGGAGAGGCAATGTTATGTTGTATGGTTGAACTGTTTCATAGACTTCTTGTCGTTCGGGATATGACTGATGAGAGGCGTATGGTGGTTCATCAAGTCCATGCGCCTAAAACAATTAACTGGTTTCCATAACTTTTCCGAACAAATACTGATAACAGGATGAGAATCCAGAGTTTGCCATAATATGATTAAGTCATGTTATTGTCTATCCTCTTCCCTGGGAAGAATATAAAAATCTTATCATATACAATTAATTTTGTGGTCGACTGTTATCTGCCAGATTATTGGCATTTATCTTATAATTAGGTGAAACACGATCTCGAATCTCAAGTAAAAAGACTGACAGAAAAATTAGATGAATTAGAAAAACAGAAACAACAGCAAGAAACATCTCGCCAACAAGACAGAGCCGATGTTTTAGAGAGAAAACTCGAACAATTAACTGCACAACGACTCCGATCTCTTGAACAATTGCAGGAACAACAAGCTGCATGGCAGGTTTGAAATAGTAGTCAATATGCAAAAATGTTTTCCTTTTGTAGTGCTTTGGAATAGTTATTTTTTTCAAGGTTGGTAGACTGTAGTGTTATTGCTTTGCTGGTTATCCTTAGCGGGAGACGTAGGTTTAAATTCTTTGGTATGATTATGTGAAAAAGAGACTGGACTCCATGTTGCCATAGTGAGGTGCACATTATCACGAGTCATGACTGGTCATGGCTTCTTTGCCAATCAACCATTACTCTGATGCTGGGCCGTAATATTTCTTGCTAAAAAAGGTGATGAGATGTCGCTCTTCGGGCTTTGAGCTTGTAAAACATTGTGTTAATATATTTTTGCATGTCTTTTTTGTCTGGTAAGTGTTGAACCACACAGCACATGCACATAGTTTTACAGACCTTTCAAGAATTTTGAATTGCGTTTGACTAATTTTACTTGGCCATGCATTTTAGACTCATTTCCTTCGGGTTATAGGAAGCATTCAAAATTCACAAGACAAGCTTTCCAGTGCTGCAATTGAGAAAAGTAAGTTGTACTTTCATATTTATAAAAAGAAAATGGTAATTTATTTTGAAAAAAATACATTATCATACATTAAACAAACAAGACTGAAATTTAGGAGAGTGGCTAAAACTTCAAACGAGCTTAAAACAGGAGACATAAAAGTACTACATGAACCTTGTGTTATAGAAAATAAATGCAAATACAGGATTGAAATACTCCTTGGTGGAGAAGTCTTTATTTTTGCACTGTACATTTGCTATCACCCTGTTCAATTATAAGTAGTATTATATATAAGCTAGAAAGAAAAATATTTTTCTCCATTTTAGGAAATTTCTTGCAAGCAGGTGGAAGAAATGTGAGATTCGATGGTCTTCAAGAAAGGTGAGCTGCAAACAGGATTTGCTTATTACACCTCAGCAGTTGGGAGCTTTCTTTTGTGCCTCTGATTATCCTGTACAGTTTTAAATCCCACGTTCATAATCATGTGATAGAAGCTTGCTCAACTTCTCATTGCTGTAAGGTGATCCAAGTAACCACTGGTCGGTGACAGTTTCTTTTACGACCAAGTCCCAGTATCTGAAACAATAACTGATCAACTATTTCACTACCTCGCCATATGATTAAGCCATCACATTGATTTTCCTCTCCCATGTAACAAATATGTAAATCCTATCTAAATATTCTAAACCAATCCTAAACTAAATAATACATTTTAACATTCTGTAAGATTCTAAAAAAAGATATTTTACTCAGAATATCGAATTTATTTCACCATGGCCATGACAAAAATTTGCACACATATTGATGACATCAAATTTTGAAATGATAAAAGTGAAATCATCTATTTTCACATGCCGTTTCATTTTCAGTCATTTGCTACTTTTCATTCAAAAATGTTTTAGATTAATATTACTGGAACACAAACTTTTTGCCACACACTCTAATATTATCATAATAATATATTGCAGCCCAAATGTTCTTCAAACTCCAGCTCCTCGCACACAAGCACCCTTGCCTATCGACACAAAGAAAACTGCTAAAGGGATGTCACCTGGTTAGTACAATGTAGATAACTTGATTCAGGAACCATCTATGAAAAATTTAATGTTATTGCGAAAAAAGTAAAAGCTGTTTGTGACCAGTTTGATATTCTGTTAATAGTTTCATTACTTTTATATAATTGTGGTTCTCTCATCCAACTAGATTCAATAATTTTACAATGTAGATTCTCAGGTCTGTGGAGTGGGAGTTTGATGCCGGAGCCCGAGTTTCAAACTTGAGTGTTGAGTTGAAATTTCAAATTTTCTGGAGTCACAAATTAGAATTTCAGACTTCAATGGTGTTAGTAGAAGTCAAAATTTTCTACAGAACTAACATTGAGTTTACTCAGTGTACTTAACAGTTAACAGTCTATTAAAGAAGACTTAAATACAGCAAAGTTTTTATTATCATAATTTGATTCGAAGGAGTCGAAGTCGAAGACCAATTTTTTCTCAATATGGAACCGGTAGTCTGAATCAAAATTTTTTACATCCCGGAGTTAAAGCCAATTGTAAATTTTCCACAAGTTTGCAGCGCAGTTTAATTCGCTGAAGCTCATCATTTCCATGCATCATCACTAAGTATTGATTTAAATTGCGTGAATGATCAAGCCAAATTCGTTCAAAATCTCCTTCGTTTTGTCCTTTTATACATGAAAATCACTAATCTCACAATTGTTTAGAAAAGTACGAAAAGCGAACTAATTTAGTGGTTAACACATTAAGCATAATATATTAGGTCATCGTAGGCAACAGATTCTGGGTTTGGATCTATTTGCCTAATTTTCCATGCTCTTTCAGGCCCTAGGGTTTAAAAAATTGCAAATTACAAGTTTGCAAGTTTGATCAGAACAAAAAAGTTAAATAGCATGCATAGATACGATGTATAGCATGCTTGCATTTATTTCAGGTAACGGTTACCTTCTGAAAAATATTCTCGAACAAATGGACGTCAGCACTCCCGGTCCAAGTCCAGCTATTCCTGATCGGATGAAATCACTTCGAGATCCACTTGCAGACTTGACGCCTGTCAGAGGTCCGACAGAGAAGCTTGGAGAAAAGTGAGTAAAATATTTCATTTTGATGTGTTTTTCTCGTTGTGTATGCAGATGTTTTAGACAGGTATAGGGTCAAGTTTTTATTTTACACCGGGGTAAAGAAATACGAGGGAATAATTATAGGACGCAGACTCTCCTGAGAATAGTTGGCCAGTTATTTATTCATTATGCATGTACTTGATAGCGGACGAAGCCGTAACCGAAAAGTAGTTATGTCATCACGTGAACCTTCCTACGACGACGACGAGTACAGCAATCCGCCCTCTTTCATATAATTATTCGCTATTGGATTTGAACATGCGAACACGTGCAGGATAATCAGAAGTGCAATGACAAGCGCGTGATAGAGCTTTTTTGGTGGATGTCGTTGCAGTCTGTCGTTTTTTTTCAGCGTGGAAAGGTTTCATACGATTGAATTTTGATGGTTAAATATCATCCGAAGTTATGATTAGTAGGTAGCGGTATCCGGATTGTAGTATTCTTGAAAAGGTACTTCTGTAGTATGCAAACCAAGAAGGCGGACATCGGAGTTAGTATGTCTACCGGGTTAGGGTTAGGCCATACTTTTATTCCAATTTTTCTTTTTTAGTTCTATTACGAGTTCGGCGACTAGCAAAATGACTCTCGTAGTATTTGTACCTGAAATTATGGCCTAACCTTAATCTGGTACACATACTACGTTCCGGTATCCGCCATCTTGGTTCACATCCTACGGAGTAACCTTGAAAACGTGTCTCAAATTGAGAACCATTAGGGTTACTGTGGTTACAGCTTGTCGTTTTATTGCTTTTGCACTTTTTACGTTTTTGTATCAGAATTTTTATCCCATATAGTGGGATTGGTGGTTTTCGTTTTTGACAGTTGATCATGATATAAAAGAATGCTATGCTTGTTCTCTACAATATAAAATTAAAAATTATTATTATCAGGTATTTATTTTTATGTCAATGCATGAAATTGGTGGTTGCGGGTTGGTGGCAACCATGGGCTGTCCAAATTCCCATTTCATGTTATATAAAAAACGAAAAAATTAAGTTTTTCTTACAACCGTGATTAATTAAATAGGTTTACGTATCCCAGTTCCTATTTAAGTTTACAGTATTCATATATATGATGACTATTTAAAGAAGCATAATATTATAGCGCAATACACAGAAAAGTGTTGCTTAGATACATATTTTTATAATTCAAATATATAATTTTTTTATATCGTCATAACAAGCCACCGAAGCCGTATACATAGAAAAGTGCTTAATTATACCAATTTTTCAAATAAGAAAGTGTTCCTACACGTGAGATTTCTTACAGTATGCAATTTTCCTTGCTTGAGGCTTGTGCACCTTTCTCATAGCACACTATATCAAAAGCTCATGTCATTGTGTGTGATCTTATCGCGAAGGTTTCAAACGCATTTGAAGTTTCTTGTCGTCATCAATACTTCATATATCATCTCAAAAATTGATATTAAGGCGTTTTTTATTTTTATTTAATTAAATATCCAGCAACGACGATATGCTTGCATTCATAGTACGGGACGGGACTATTTTTGTTGTTTTGCTTTGTAATTTTTTTTCCGTAGTGCTTGTATAAGTTTATAAATGACAAATTGATAGCGTCTTTGTTAGGGTTATATACATGGATGTGAAATTGGGGAAAATTTAAAATCGAATCCGACACCCCCCCCCCCCCTCCCCCGCCGTTTGAAAAAATTTGGCTCCGATTAAGAAAAATTTTGTCTCCGAATACGAGAAATTCATTTTTTAATACCCAAACACTTTGGCATTTGCAACCGTTTAAACGCTTGTTAATATTTGTAATATTGAAAACACATCGTTTAAAGTCGCTGTTGAACAGTGTTTTTATTCTAATTAATGAATGACTCGCTTGCAAATAACAAAAGATGTTACACCACAATAAATACGCTTGCGACTTTAATATACGCGAAATCGATGTTCGGTGCCCTTCAATCCTTTTGGTCGGACGCAGCCCAAATGAAAAATTCCAGAGGCTCGCGGAACCACTATAAATTGAATATAGGTATATATGAGTGTTATCAGAAAATGTCCCCAAAAATGTGAACTATAATATTACGCCGAACACTGAAGGCTTCATTAGCGAAACTCTTTTATTATATGAATATTTTTTACTCGTGTAATATATTATATTTTAACAATATACTGAGCATATAATAATATCAGATTTGAAAGGAAACTTGCGGTAACCATGGACTGCGGAACGCGGCTGTTCTATATCATATAGCACGCAGCACAAGTAGTTTACAATTACAGTATACATTACGCTAGGATTCAATCCATTTCGACAAATTTTCATATGCCATTTGATATGAAGTAATATCATGTTTAATATATTTTTGTATCTTCGTCGTAAACAAATTATGTAACCTTTTCAAAAAGCAGAATAATGATAACATCACAAGCGAACCATGTGGTTTGTTATTCAAATTAAGCGGTTTTGTTTTGCGTCACAACATGACGCAAATGGTCACACTTTTTATAGAATAGACCTGTTCCACATTCATGTTCTGTAACCTTTAACCTTTTGTAGTCCTGTAGTTCTATTTGTAATATAAGCCAGCTGCTACAAGATAGGATTTAAAGACTTATAAATTCCACTTAATATTACTATATGCTTGGTATATTTATAAATTGAGATGTGAAGAACAGTCATTTATACTTAGTTGGTTACTTTTGCATACATAATATTTGTATATGTAATATTGTCACATTTGACGTCACGCATATATATTTTTATCGTTGAAGTGACATCGTCACAGATGCTTATTTTTGTACTGCGTGGTAAATTCAAATCTAGCGCGACTGTGACGTAGCGTGACATGGCTGTGCGTAAAGATGCCTGTCGCCTTATTTTTAGACTTGCGTGGTAGATGAGCATGATTGTAACATCTATGGAAATAGAAATGCGAACAGCGGTATAGGGGTGGTTACATGGTCCCAATCGCTAATTCAATGGATTTTGTAGATGGCATATTTGACAATAAGTTTGATTTCACTCCGGCGTAATTTGTACCGTCATACAATGTATGAGATGAATAACCGCCTTTAAAACTGTACTTTATTTTAAGATAGATAATGCTCCAACCATACATAACATCTGTGACCTATTTATAGACAGGCGTTTCAACAATTTAAAATTCGGTAAATTTATAGAATTTTCAGAATAATTCGTTCTTGATCCAATCGTGAATCCAGTGCCTTGCTTCTCCAGATTATTTCTTTTAAGTTTTCATCATTTTGATTTGATTTAGTTATTTTTATTGTCTCATTTCTCTGGATAAAATCTTTTGACGACATAATCTTATATTATCGTAATTTGTTATTCGTCACTGTTTTTTTTTTTATATATATACACCACATTTCAGTTCAAGAGTAAGATCGAGTTCCTTATACTACGTTGAATTTCATAACTCTGTGTTGTTAAAATTATCAACGTTTTTAGAACAAGAAATGCCATTTGATAATTTTCGGTATTCATCAATTTAAATCCTGTGAAGCTCTCCAATATAATAAAACTAATCAGATAAACTAATATTTAAATCCTTTAAATCGAATCCCGGTAACTACACGATGTTTACCGTTACCTACAGTTTGTCATGCCAAAACCCCACTTGAAAGCGTGTTGGTGCTGCTGTGGTATACATTTGTTTCGTGTTTGAAAGGATATAGTCGTACGTAAAACTTCCTAAATAATTTACTTTTCCTTGTACCACAAAAAGAAATTAGTTTTTTAAACCAGTGTACACATTTGAATGTTGCGCCGAAACCACTCAAAATTGTTGATTTTCTTAAAGAAAATATATTTTAAAGGAAAATTTTGGTAAACTACGCTCGTTGCCCGGATATATATTCTGAAGATGGGTGATTTAATATGAACCCATTTAATTGAGTTTCTTCAAATGCGAAATTTTTAAACTATTAAAGCCCAGAAAACCGCCGTTTTGTATATACGATAAGATAGGATTTACATATTTATCCCGGGGAGAGGAAAGCCGATAAGACGGCTTAATCATATGGCGAACCACGTACTCTCCCCCGGTTACCAGTGCATGTCGGGTATGGGATTGGGTATGGTATTAGCCAGTTTTTGTTTTTTCAGATGCATTGAAATTGATGGTGGAGGAAGCCGTAACCGACCAGCGGTTACGTGAACCACCCTACGACGGCAAACAGTCCAGCAATCCGCTCGCACATATTTAACCCCGCACGGAATTCGAATCTGCGAACTCCAACGCCAGCTGCGGTGGCGAGCTTATTCCTAACGCTTCGCACGATGCGCCACACCGCCGGGCCAAAAATTGCTTGTATTGTTTAACTTGCCCGCCTTGTTGTATAGCAGTATGCGACCTAGTCGTCATGATCTTGTAGTATTTTTTATATTTGCAATTTGTTACGCTCACGTGAATAACTGATTTCACAACTCGAAATGGATATAAATTGATTTGCATCAATATTTTTCTCAACGTCATTTGTATAAGAAATACATAAATATAGTTCATTGTCTGTGTCAATAATGGTTTACTGCAGGGTGGTCCAAACCCAGGCACGCGGGCCACATGTGGCCCGCCGCTTTATTATCTGTGGCCCGCGTCTCATTCGGAGAGTAATCGATAAATCGCATTTCGTGTTGTTTCGTAATCAAATTTATCAGAAAAATCTTTTGACATATTGTTTCATCACTAATGAGGCAAAGAGCGAAGTTTGATGATGTGCTTGGCAGTCTAAATTATTATCTGGCTTTCTATCTTTTTGGTCGGAAATATAGGCTAACAATAAAGGCGTCATAAAAAAACTAAAAATCGAATGCGGATTCTATTAGCCTGGGATGGCTATGTCTGATAACTATGTGTTTGCACAATAAAAGTGTTTATTTTGTATTGCACTGTTTACCTATTCTTGGCACTATTGTGGCCCGCAAAACAATGAAAAAATAAATTTGTGGCCCGCGGAGCCGACAACCTTGGACCA